AAACGAAACCAACAAAACGAAACCAACAAAACGAAACCAAACAAAACGAAACCAACAAAACGAAACCAAACAAAACGAAACCAACAAAACGAAACCAAACAAAACGAAACCAAACAAAACGAAACCAAACAAAACGAAACCAAACAAAACGAAACCAAACAAAACGAAACCAAACAAAACGAAACCAAACAAAACGAAACCAAACAAAACGAAACCAACAAAACCAAACCAAACAAAACCAAACCAAACAAAACGAAACCAACAAAACGAAACGAAACCAAATAAACGCAAACATTTTATCCAGAGAGTTCGAATTTACAGAAGAGCTCGTTTCTCCTGATCACGTCTTCAGTAAGAAAGGGTTTGTTACTGTTGGCACTAAACTTAAGATGCGTTTCGTTACTGTTACAAATGAATTATGCATATTTCGCGTGTTGACGCCACGTTATGTATAACCGCACCATTGCTAACAAAGTAACATCCAGTTTGTTATTATTGGTACTCAGAGCCGTTCGGTTACATTACTGTAATTTTTTTTAGTATTTGAATGCTGTTTAAAGGTATAATTCAAACTAAGATTGACTGTCCACAAATAACTGGAGAACTGGCAACCAAAACAGGTTGTTCCAAACATTTACCTGCTTTACGCAGAACTGTTATTTACGTTTTGCTATTACTGTTAACAAGATAGAAGGTATATTCCCGGTACCCCGATACCATTTGTTTAAGCCACGATACGTGTAACCGCGGAACGCCTATGTAATGTATTCACCAAAGAAGTAACAAAAACATTACCGGCAAACGGTAAAAATTCAAACATTTTCTGTCAAGATGCAGCCGTTTTTACACTTTTTAGGAGATATTTTTCCTACAGGCTTAATCTATATTGAAATCAGTTTCTTCCGTTTGGCGTAAACGTCAGGCTTGAGGTTGCAATTGTTGATGCTATGATCCGTTTTGTTACTGTTTGTCTTAAGTATTAATAAAAGACTGATTACAAAGATTCTAATTTTTTGGAGTAGGTTGCAGTCGCAAACTTTCACAATTCATTCACAAAAAAGGTCAGATCCACATACACTTCTTAACCCTCCCGCGATTCGCTAAATGGATACTGATATAGGAGCAATAAGTAAACAGGAATTTGAAACAATGATTCCGCCAAAACCTACATTATGTAGAAGCTTTCGGAAGCTAGCGAATATGGCGAATTATTTTCCTCCCTAGAGAGGTACAGGCTTCCCAGCACTTGAATAAGAAATCGATAACAAGGTAACAGCATAGGTTATGTTTCAGTTTCTTTCGGCTAGTTTCGGTTTGGTTTCGTTTGATATCGTTTGGTTTCGTTTCGCAAAGTACAGTGGCGCAGCGATTTCAGGATTCGAGCTTCCTTTCAAAATAAACGTGTCTCCCGCTCCGCCTGTTGTCGGTTTGTTTGGTTTCGTTTTGTTGGTTTCGTTTTATTGGTTTCGTTTTGTTTGGTTACGTTTTGTTTGGTTTGGTTTGGTTTTGTTTGGTTTCGTTTTGTTGGTTTCGTTTTGTTTGGTTTGGTTTTGTTTGGTTTTGTTTGGTTTGGTTTTGTTGGTTTCGTTTTGTTTGGTTTCGTTTTGTTGGTTTCGTTTTGTTTGGTTTGGTTTTGTTTGGTTTGGTTTTGTTNGGCGTAGCGCCGAGTTGGCTATAATCATCTCATATCCAACAAGCGCGATTGGAATAATTGTTTTATTAAAAACGTTGAATTAAATTATTAAATTTGTAGCTCCCTTTTAATTTTAAGCTGACACGTACGCTTACCATATTTGTAGATTATGGTATATTGGCTGATATACCATAATGGCTAAGCCAATAGAAAGTCTTGAATTGCATTATCCAATGATCTAGTTTTTAATAATATGCTTTATTCGGAGCTGATGTTTTTTGAAGACTGACTACGAGCGAAAGATTCTAGAGGCAATATATTTGAACTACATTTATAACGACCATGTAAATGCCATAGGACCCATTACATAGAAACCCGAAACCACGGATATTTAAGATGGTAAGCCTGTGGTCCAACTGGATAAAGAAATAAAACTGACGAATCCAAAAATAAACCCAAATGAGCATCTTCTCTGTGTATTTATCGTACTCGTGTGTCTTTCTTTCCGTTTACTAGGCCATTCTGAGGGAGGGCGTAGATTACTAAAGAAACTGTGGTGCTGGTTTGTGGTGCTTAGGTTTTCCACCACTTCCACGAGAAACAGTAGAGGTCGTGGCGGCCATGTTTATTTCGAGCGTTAACCCTTCGTTAGAGCGAATGAGGGTATTTAAGATGGTAAGCCTGTGGTCCAACTGGATAAAGAAATAAAACTGACGAAACCAAAAATAAACCCAAATGAGCATCTTCTCTGTGTATTTATCGTACTCGTGTGGACGGTCATGTTAATTTGGAAAAACTTACTGGCCGGATTCGAGAAGTAAATTGGATTCGAGAAGTAAATTGGTGACTAAAGCTATCGGAACCAAAATGGCGGCGGCTCGCAACAAGTTCTTTCTATAGCCTTATCTAGCCTTCTAAAAGTTATTTACTTGCTTCCAGAAAAGACTTAACAAGTAAACGAACAGACTTAGGTGAAAATACTTTTAGACGAAAAGACCATAATTCCTGCGAGTTACGCGATAAGGTTTTAAAATGTTCCTGATGACAGAATTATACTAATTAATTTTGAAACCAATCTTTTAATCATAGGTAAAAAACATCAGAGAGATTTTGTCGTCATGAAATTTTATAACTTATTACAAGGAGAACGACCCCGATAAATGCAGAATGAGATAAAAAATAAATCAATAAATGTCAAGGGGCTAATGCAATCATTCGATCAGTGTTTCACAATCGTAATCTAACAAAGACTATGCTTTCATAGTAACGAGTAACTCCTTTTTCAAACACCATGCCAATGAAGGTATTGTTTGCCTGCGTTCCAGGGATAGTAGTAAGGCATGAGTACCCACTTGGACCCTTCCACACTCCGAGGGACCCCACCCATGATTCACCATTGTCTTCACTCCAGCGGACGGTCATGTTAATTCGGAAAAACTTACTGGCCGGATTCGAGAAGTAAACCGTGTTCCTGTAACGAAGTAAGCTGGCAGCAACCACCGGGTCTACCAACGTTTCGTCAAAGTAGATGTCGGAATGAGCAAATGATTCCCCACCATCGTAACTCTTGGACATGATGCGACAATGGCAGTGGAAATTATCTTGGTTTCGCGAAGTCATCAGCAAGCTGCCGTCGTAAAGCTCGATTAGCTATCGAGAAGGGAGAAAGCATAATCATTGTCAATCACCTCAAAAACTCGCCTAGGAGCCCGAAAGGCCAAAAGGTGCGTGAAGATTGCTGTCATACCTGAGATTCATCCGGCTCAAATGATCTTTGTTGGGGAATATACCCGGCAACCCTCCAGCTTGCTCCATGATCTGAGATAGGGATGAATAATAAGAACATCGCCGGATTGTTTATCTCGCCGGATGCAATTAGAACTTGAAGAATGGAGGAGAAAGCAACTAAATTGACGTTCTGGTTTGAAACTTAGATGATTCAACCAGTTTGTCAGTTATTATGTCAATCCACTATAGCTCTTATCTCAATTATCTCTGTCTTTGATTTAGTGATTCCTCCATTTCAAAAATATATTAGTTTAATTCAGTGTGGTTAGTTAAACGAGCTTTTTTAACAAACTAACCATGCACCATGCACTTTTCGATTTAGCGTCGTACAAATTACCTAACGGCACTGGCAGCCAATTGGAAAAAAGGAAAATGTTAGAAAGATATTTCCAAGTCGGGAATGGTTTTGGTGTTGCATCTGATTGGATGAGAGAGTGACCTGAGTTTTCTTCAACAACCACAGTACATACATGGTAGTTCAGTAAAACCTCTGCAATCGGGATTATTTTCGACCCTTAAAATTAAAATCTTCGTGCTTACCGTCACTAACAATACAGAAGACACCATCACGACCGGGGTGAGAATGACCACACGTGATGAGCCTTCCCTTGTGAGGATCTTTCTTTTTCTAAATGAGAACTGAAGTGTTAAACAATGATGTGACGAGCTCATTACTGAGTTGAGAGTCACACGTGATACGGTTGTAACTGCGCAGAATTCAAAGCATAAAGTTATTGTAAAAAAACGGTATCTTATGAGTCCAGGAACACAACCTGCGTTAATGGTTTGCATCGTTCAACACTGGTTGCGATCAATTCTGAGAAGGTATCAAAGAGGGGTGCCGCGCATACCAACTAATGTCAGCCCGCGGTGCGTGAAATTGTGGATGCTTCAAGGATGAAAGGCGATCATTAAAAAAATATACGGAAATGTTTTACAATGTCCATAAAATTTAGTTTTTGACCCAAGTTAAATCCCTGGTCGTTTGAATTTTACCGAAATTTGAAAAGCAGGTGCAGGTGCTAAGAAAGCGGGAAAACCCATCGCTAAATCAACATTCAAACCACGTTTAGTCATATTCAAACTCTGCTAAATGTACTCCGATTCCGAGTCTACTCTGAGTTAGATCCGGGTCCACGTAAACCTAAATCATGATCCAATCCATGTCTACCCATCCGAGTAGAATACGAGGCCAAGTCAAAACCAAGTCCGCGTCAAATCTATTTCCGAATCAACTCCGACTGCAAGTCAAATCCGGGTACATGTCAAATCTATGTCGGAATTTAATTTGAGTCTAAGTCAAACACGATTCGTTACGCAGCATTATGCATTCTTTAAGCCACACCCATCCCCCCGACAGGTTCACTACTTTGGAGATGAATGCAGGTCACGTGACTCGAATTTGGATTTGACTCGGCCAGCCAAAATTGCAGAGAAGCAGGTTTATACCTGAATACCAAAACCCGGTCCTGGTAGAAAGATGGATGGTCCAATCTGGCCTGACAGGTTAAATGGCTTTGTCCAAGTCAGTCCAAAATTGTCACTGCTTATCAGAAACGTAGTGTGAAAGACACATTTGTGCGCACAATGGGAGTATACAACAAAAATTATATTTTTCTCTTCGTCTACAAATACGGTGCCAAGATTGAGGCCATCAGGGTCTTCACCATCATTCTCAATGAAGGTTGTGTTACTCCATGTCGAACCTTGATCAGTTGAACGGCGCATTGCCAGGAATTTTGGTCCCACGTCTGCAGAGTTGTGCTTCCTTCCCTCCGATAACGCGATGAGGGATCCATCGGGCAGAGATTTTATAATGGGGATGCGATACGTGTTCACCCCAAGATCACCTAAAATGAAAAAGAAAAGGGGATCATGCAAGCACGGAAAAGTCCATGGCATCTGTAGAAAATAACCATAAATGTAAGATTTGCTATTGGAAAAGAGAGAATAAAATCCACAACAAAAGTCACCGAGGTTTATCTGAGCTACCTTAACGCTAAAATGATTGATATGAATAATCCGTTTATACATAACTATTACAAAATATACGCCTTTAAAAACGGCATTCCCAACGAACTATGAAAATGACCTCTGAACGTGCCCAGCATGCGCTTGGGAGCAAGCGTCATTGCGATATGAGACGACGTACGCGATTGAGGAGTTGCGCAAAGAAAAATTCCATCCTATGCTTGTTCGAAGTGTGGATAACGCTCGCTCTACACAAACAGGGCACGAAATTGCGCCTAATACAGTCGCCAATTAATGCGACTAAAATTATCGTGCTGGCGACCAAGATTCAAAAGTTATTCGCCAAGCTGGCGACTAGAACTCTTTGGGTTTTGTATACCTTACCTTGATGTATTTTGCGGGCTCACAACATTCCGTACTAGGAAAACCCTTCCATTTGACATTATTGTATAATGCGTTTTTTCAACTATCTTTTTTTTTCAATGATTCCTAACTTTCTGGCCTTGGCGACCACTTTGGAAAATTTAGGAGCCAGATGGCTCCTTGCCAAAAAAGTTAATTTCGTGCCCTGACAAACCTCTAAACCTCTATCCGTGAATAACGCGGTACTTTTCTTTTTATCATACATCCGCCGGATAGCGACTAGATCGCGAACCAGGCCCTCGCAGATCTCTCGCACCGCCTGCTATGCTGTGACCCAAAAGATAGGTGGGCGTGATCGCATGACTGTCATGACTCAGTACTAACCCTAATGAGTCTCATCGTATCACGCAACATTTTTGTGGTCTTAAGGTAATTTACCTGTAAGAGACTCCACCAAGTGGTATATAGAGATGTTAATGAGATCGAATCAAAATACCGAGCAAAATTTGCTTTTACGAACCAGAATTGTGGGACATTGACTCCTTGTGAGTCCAACTGAGAGATCATAAACCTTTTTTTTCGAGAAAAACACATTGAAAAATATGGAAAAGAAAGATTAGAATGAGAGAAATGGGTTTGTTTGGGTTAGCAGGGTTAAAGCTTAAAAAACTTCGAAATTGAAATGGAAATATTTGTTTCAAGACGGACGACCTGTCACGAGCGGTTACAAAGTGCAGTCAGGATTGTCCGAGCAAAGTTGCATCAAATCAAGTTTTTACCTTGCATCCACAGAGTCATTTGAAAGTCAATTGAAGGCTCAGAACTGCAACGAGGAATCCCCGCTAATAGGAGATTGAGAGAGCAGAACAAGAGTGAGGGGAAATTATTACCTGCCATAATCCGACTTCCGGTCAAGCTAAGCCTCGGTTCAGTTGTTACAAAAATACTGCATGGGGTGAGGAGATTGTTTTTTGCCTCTTGATTGTTTTTTTGCCTCTTGATTGTTTTTTGCCTCTTGATTGTTTTTTGCCTCTTGATTTGTTTAGGGAAACCAATCTAAAAATTGGAAACTAACTACTCCGTCTAGAACAAGGGAAAAAACGATGACACGCATCAAATTAATTTAGGTTGATTCCAGCAGCTTAATAGACCGACCAAGACAAATACCCGACAGTACCCCTCAGGAAAAACCTTCGCCACTGACCCAATCACTGCTGACCAAGATCCAACAGTTCTATTTATAGCAAAACACATGAAAATTTTAGGTAGATTTACCTCGTATATATGTAGTTTGTGATGTCAATTACAATTCTTCCTGATGATTTATAGTCCATATCTGTGATCGATCGTGTAGTTTAGTATGCTTTAAATCCACAAATGGACGAGATGGGTGCTAATTTTTCTTTGGAACAACAGTGGACATGCAATAAGTGCACCTTGATAAACCGAGGTAGAAATTCCACCTGCTTAGCTTGTGACCATCGTAAACAATCCACTGCGACATGGATTTGTCAATTTTGTGGCTCTCGTAATCCACACACTGTAGTTCTTTGTAACAGCTGTGGATCGGATCGGGAGGTTGCTCGAAATGCTGATAGCAGTGGTAAACAATGGACGTGCCCTCGATGTACTTTAACTAATCCGTGGAATAGATCTATCTGTTCTGCTTGTCGGTTGGAACCTCCTATCGCAGTGGCCAATTCTGTGAAAGCTTCCGTAAGTGAAAGAACTTTTTCCCGCCCAAAAATTTATCCCGATCTGTCGCTTGAACTACATCCAACTATTGCTCAGCAAAGTTCAGAGGGTCTGAAATGTCCTAAATGCCAAAGTTTGTTATATGACAATGTCGGAGTTCACTGTACAGTTTGCCATTCACCTTGCCCGGAAGAAGGTTTTAAACCTCGACCATTTCCGAAATCTTCCATTCCTTCTGTATCTAAAAGCCCTCTTGGAGACCGTTGGAGTTGTTCTCAATGTACATTTGACAACAAAGGTACGAATTCATTTTGTGAACTTTGTGGAAGTGACCGTGGAGTTGAAGCTAAACCGAGCACTTCGGAAAAAGATACTGCCTCAACAGGTACTATTGGCGAAACAACTGTTCTGTTCCCGTTGCTTCTTAGTAGGAAGATCTAATGCCATTCGATAAATGTCCTGAAACACTTGTCTCAAAAGGACGAAATAATGCCAGCCAATCAATCAATCGATCAATCAATCAATTAATGCCCACTTTAAGTGCTTAGAATGATCATCTCTGAATTGAAAAATTCAGGGCCACCGTGGCTAAAAGTTTTCAATTTAGAATCTTACATTTCAGTTTTGAAATATTTCAAGAAAACTGTTTCAATGTCAAACAGGATAGGATCTAAAATTAAAATAAATTTCAGTAAATGGATTTCAGACAAAGACCACATGTTATCTTATAACAAACATTGACCATCAATATTGATCTAGTTTCAGGACGCCCTAAATCTACAGAAAGAATAAGGAGTAAAACATGTCAAAAAAAACATAAGTGGAATAGGCAAGGGAGAACCCACCAACCAAGAGTATTCCAGTGGTCTTACCAGTTTTGCTTGTAGAAAAAAAAATTTCATTTCTCAAACATTGCTAGTGTTCTAAAAAACAAATGTAAAGCCATGCATGGTGTCCCTGTTGGGATGAGCTTCAGAAGTAACTGGCATCAGAGGCTCAAAGGAATCAGATTTAACCCTTAAACTATCATTGCAGTTTATGTGTAACTTTTCCCTGTTTGATGTAATCAACTAAGTGATTTTTGGGTGGTTGTTGTTATCACAACAACTCTTGATCGGTAATTGTGTGGTTCAAATGACATTGTCTTCAGTTCATTTTATTTCTTTATCTTTTTTTCCATTTTAACTTTGTTGTAAGCGATGCAAATGGTAAACTTATATGCAGAAATTCTTTTTGAAGGTCCTGGTGAGGTGGATTCTGGTTGGTCCTGCACAGCTTGCACTCTATATAACCCAATTAGCACTGCTGTGTGCAGTGCTTGTGGTGCCAAGAAAGATCTTGATGATCAAGGGTTTCAGACATCACCCTCAGCAAGTCCAAGGAGAGCAATGCAACGCCAACAGAGTATCAATTCTGAGTCCAGGAGAATTCGAGATGAGAAACAAGCTAAAGAACAATGGATCAATGTTGTACAATATTGTAAAAGTGTATGTGTGACTGACTAACTGACTGTAGGGGTGTCTAAGTAGGAGGAGGTCCTAAACAGCACATTTGAAACCCCTCTTTATCAAAATCTAACAGATAATTATACATTATCATTCAATATCAATAGGATTCTGCACATTCCAATAGAAGCAGTTATTCTCTTTTTTTCCTTGTTTATAAACTAAGAACTAACTGTGTGTCCAAAATTTTATTTAATTGTCATTCTTTTATATTTACTTTTCAGGCCAAAATTGAATTTGTTGATGACTCCTTCCCACCCACTGACAAGTCTCTGTACTTTGAACCACGCCATTCTGATCACCCTCGTGTGACAGATTGGCGACGTCCTGTAAAAATCAAGGCATTTAGAGGGGAGCATGGCACTACATCAATTCCTTTGGCCGTATTCCGTAATCCTAGGCCTGATGACATCATGCAAGGAGTTCTGGGTGACTGCTGGTAAGTTTATTATTTACATGCAACCCTTCGAATCCAGTAGGAGATAATTTTGTGAGTTATCCCTGTAATAATTTCTTTATCTATACAAAAATAAAGAATTATAAAAAAACACTGATATGTACAACATTATTAGGTTATTTTTTCTGATTTTTGTACTATATTTTGGCTGACCAAACTTCATTTATAGACTTCCTTATATACAATCAATTTGATAATTTATTTTCATTGTGGTGGGGAAGTCCTTTTTCCAATTGATTACAAATACATAGAAGCTTACTGGCTTTATTAGGTGGAATTAAAGGGAAATGAAATACTAACAAGAATAAAAAAATGATATTCACTTTAAAAATGGTGATAAAGATTGATCAACTACTGTATGCATGTTACCTTATGTTGAAAATCTTAGAGTAGTGGTCCACAGATCTGGTTTCAATTGAATAGCAAAACTGATCAAAATCTACCCTAAACTCTAGGATTTAGTCCAGTTTAAATACTTGTTTCAATGAGAATTAATTGCAGAGAAGTTAGGGAAAGAGAGGAAGCTTTTTGCAACTGTAGGAAGCTTGGAGTTGGTGTGAGGATTATCTTTGTGGTTCATTATGTGGGAGCATGACAGACCATGTTAATGTCTGCAATAGAGTGGCAAAGGGCAGGAATTTAAGACAACCAAAACAAAGAAAGTATAAACAAGCATGCACCATCACAGTTACCTTTCTTTCCCAGAACTTGAAAATTAACATTAAGTCAATCTTGCTTCTTATTCAAGCAAAATCTTTTTGTTATATATTAAATCATTTTTTGACTAAGCTTGTTCAGTCAAGATAGTTGGATATAAGCCTTGTTCTTTTTAGGGTTTTTTTTCTAGACTTTGAGTTCATCTTGGTCCATGAAAATGCAAGAAAAAAGACCTGAGCCATCCAGCCATTTTGACCTACAGTGTAGTGCATGGTCAAAAACATGTGTACATTGTTTATAACAATTTTATTTGAACAGTTTTCCATAGAGACATCTTATTATTAAATGTATTATTTATTATTATATTATTATTATTATTATTTATCATTGATGACAGTTTTATTATTTGTGCCATTGCCAATTTTGCAGGTTTTTAAGTGCGATGGCTGTCTTAGGTGAAAGACCAGAACTTTTGGAAAAGATTGTGATAACAAGAGAGGTACACAGTAAACAGTCTTTTTTTGTATTACTGATTCACACCATACAATGTACATGAAGAATTTTGCTCACATTTCAAGCATGCCATGGAACATGGTACAAGAAAATTCTTTATTAAGTCCTTGTTGCTGATTTACAATTTTCCATCACTGGCAAGAGGCAACACTTAGCGACCAGTTTTACAAGTAGCCTGTAAAGAATGAAAGCAATAATCTCACAGGGTAAACTTTTAGATCCGCCCAAACTTAAAAAAAAATCCCAGCCAGATTGTACATTTGAGTGACTCACTTCCCCTTGTAAAGCACAACTGTGTTCTTGTGTCATCTCATTTTGTCTAGATCAATAATGAAGGAGCTTACCAAGTTCGCCTTTGCAAAGATGGAAAATGGACGATAATCTTGGTTGATGACTTACTACCTTGCAATCGCTATGGACAACCAGTTTATTCACAGGTAAAATCCAAAGCAAGGCATGCAGAGTTACTTTTATGGTTTGCATTTGTGAACTTAAACTCAAGAAGTCTGGGTTATAGCCCTATTCAGGGTTGTGTTATAATGTTAAGGCAAGGTACTTCACCATTGCAGTACCTCCATGGGCACCAGTGACCTGCATAGGGACTGAATATGAAATGCATGAGGGTAACCTGTGATGGATAATTGAACCAGGAATAAGCTACATATAAAATTATGGCTGATGAAGATATTTCAGTGTCATTAGCAGAGTTACAAACCTGTCTCAGTTAGGAGTCATTGTAGATATTAACTAAAAGCTTCTAGCTTGTTGTTCATGTGGGAATTTCAGTGATAGGTAACATAAAATTCAGTATCAAAAAGACTATTTTCCCATTTTGTAGGCCCGACGACAGCAATTATGGGTACCTTTGATTGAGAAGGCCATGGCCAAACTGCATGGTTGTTATCAGGCTCTTACTGCTGGACGCTGTATTGAAGGCCTACAAACTTTGACAGGAGCACCTTGTGAGAGTTTTATGCTGCATGGTAAGACTCATTCAGTTGTGACTAGTAAGATTAACCTTCCTTGCTCTAACAATGCATTTTCAATGGGGCAGGCAATGCGGGTAAAGAAAATTAACAGTTACAGTTCTAATTCTGTCCATTTTCTTTGGCCATCAGCTCACCACATAACCTGCAAATAATTGCCTCCACTGAGTTTAAGCTTTTGTGACAATCGACTGTACACTGAAACTTGCATTTTTATTAGGACGTCTGCAAATACGTGACAATAGAAGTTTTGTAGGCGTTTCAATGTTTGCTCATATGACAGAATGTAGTATTATTACGGTAACTAGGTGTGGTGAATTTCAGGTTTGTTGGAGCAATTTTGAATTGAGTGTCAAAAGTGATCCTGGTTTTTATTGGTTTAGTTTTATTTCGCTCTGTGATTAGTCCAGAAAATTCACGCCACCCTCTCAACCAATAATTAAGATGCAAAGCCAAAACCAATCACGACTCAATCGCGCGCGTTTTCCCGCGCTTTGGGCAGTTTGCTTGTTTTTACTTTGAGTTTCGACCGGCTCGTAAAAGTATTTTCCTTTACTCTAGGCCCAGTTGTATAAGGGCGAATAGCGCTATCCAACAGATAAAACGCTATCGCGAATAAATGATAGCAAAACGTATAGCGTTCCACCGGACAGAGATTTAACCAGTGGATAGCGTTGTCCGACCCTCGAACAACTGGGGCTTGATTAGCCATTGTGAATTTTTTTTCAGTTTTGGTGTACATCATCGTCGTCGTCGTCATCGTCGTCTTTTATTTGTTTGAGCAGGTTGAGTTTATGGCAGTTTAATTTCCCACCCATCCCACCCCAGGGGAGGACATCCACCACACAGTAATCTCGTGCGTGGGAAATTAACGTCTCCTACCCCTAACCCTGCAGGAGACGGGGCCTACGGTTTATTTGTTCTTATCCCAGAAGACTAGAATCTCTATCCATTTCTTGATATTATAGAGGGCTTGAACCCTCGACCTCCCGAACAACTCAATCCGGCGCTCTAACCAATTGAGCGAAAAGGGCTTAATAATATATTACTGGGCATTGCTGTCTTTTAATACAGAGCCTCCACACCCTACAAGTGATATAGAAGTTATCGATAAAGACATGATTTGGGCACAGCTTCTGAGCTGCAGGACTGCAGGGTATGTATGTGTGTGAAGGTTTTGTGCTTTGTCTGGACACAGCTACCTCTATGACAATTATTCACCCATACATCTTCGTTCATTTTCAAATTTATGTACCTTTTGTCGAATGACCAAAGTAAGAACAGCCAAAATGTTCCCTCATCATTACACTTTTGAATTTAAAGGTTTTTAATGGGTGCTTCCTGTGGTGGAGACACGAAGCCAGAGGAAAAAGATCTTTTTGCAGCGGTTGGTTTGCAGACTCACCATGCGTACTCAGTGCTTGATGTTAAGGATGTCCATGGAATAAGGTAAGCTGCTTTGGATCCAAATAGCGTAGTTGATGTGCTGTTTTTCTTTTTTTTCAGACGGATGCATGTGATAGTTAACCTTTCTTAGCGGCAGAGTACTTGGCGTAAAATGTGGAGAACAAATTTATTAAAAGCTTTGAACAATGACTGATTTTTCAAGCTCATTACTCTAGTTATTCACGCCGTGCAACGAGCTTAATTGTTAAAAGAAAAGATGATGTTTTTTTTAACGAGTCACCAGTGTTAGACAAAGAAAGTGTGAGTCAATTACAAGGATCCAAACCTCGGCATTTATCGGTCAGGAGCTTTAACACTCAGTTACAGGCAATTCGTTTGTTCGTGAGGTACAGCTTAGCCACAAACCTTGTTCATCTGTGACATGTGTCCTGCATTCTACAGTACCAGGATCTGCAAAGTTCCGTGTGTGTCGATAAATATGGGAGATCGCAAGTATTTCGTTAAATAGGAATGTCTGAGGTTCGAATCTTCGTTTTGTATTTTTCTTTTTGTTTGTTTGTTTGTTTTGTTTTGTTTTGTTTTTTTTTACGCTCGCCAGGCACCAAGCGTGCTATTACAGGGAAGACTAGAAGTAATTTTATCATCGAAAAGGGGTGTGAAGGAGAGGTGAAAAAACAAACTGTACTCCTCACAGGCGTACATACTTCATTGTAACCTTTCCAATTGGGCTCTTCAGGAACAATTGAAACAATACAATTAAGTAAAAAGATAAAATTAAATTAGATAAGAACATTCTATTGCGCCAAAATTTCCTCGCGTCACCTTTTTATCTCTTGCCAATCAAGTCTTCTCCCCAGTGCAAAACAAATCTCGGTTACATTGTACTCTTTACATTAACTGGTACGTAAGGTTGAAACTGTGACTAACGGTGTAATTGCAGACTCGTTCGTCTTCGAAACCCGTGGGGTCGCTTCTCGTGGACTGGTGACTGGTCTGATGGGTCCCCACTGTGGAACCCTGAATTAAGATATGAACTGATGGCCCTTGGATCTGAGGAAGGAGTCTTTTGGATGTCCCTCGAAGACTTCATGAAGTAAGTGACTTTTTTCAATCTTTTGGACATGGAACGCTCCTCTACGCTAGATAAGAAGATACATATAACATTAGTTTTCATTGAAGTTTCCATGAAGAATTTGAATAGATACCTGGAAATTTTCTAAGAAAATTGACGAATTAAGATGTGGGACGAATTGCAGAGGGTTACCTGACTAACGTCCCATATTCACATAAAGAAGACGGTATACTCCTAGTCTCCTCGTGTCACAGAAATCGGGAGTAAACTGTGGCAGTTTTTTTGTTACTTTGCAAAACATCCACTGGATTATGATTAACCAGAAGGCAGATTGTAAAGCATACTGCTAGGACTGGCTTTCAGTGTTAAGACTACATATGGGTATAATGCGTAACGCTATCTGAGATAGAGTTACGGGTTATACGCATATACAAGCTTTGACATCACTTGAAAACCAGGAATGTTTAATTGCCGACAAGAATAATGAGTAGTTGAAACAGTTCTGTTATCATTTCCAAACTAAATGCTTTTTTTGGTTTATATCCAGGTACTTTGATAGTGTAGACGTGTGTAAGATCAGAGAGGGCTGGGCAGAGGCTCATGTCAATGGATGCTTCCCGCAATTTGCTGGTCCCCCTGCCAAGGTTGCCTTGGTGAATGTGTTTAACACAACAGAAGTCGAGTTTTGGTTGTTCCAAGAAGGAGTCAGGTGCATTACCAATGTTTCGATATTTCTTTATACTTTGCACATATAAATAAAGTAACGTTCTACGCGTCTTGAAAAACTGAGCCAGAATTTTTCAAGATATTTCGTCTTTTTTTTTTTCTTAATTTTCTTTCTTCCCCAATTTTTTCTCTTTTCGTCTTTTTCTTCATGGTTCACAGTCCCTTTTTATTTTCGTTTATCTTCCGTTACTAAAATTCAGAAGTTTTGTTCAAGTTGAAAAACAATGTGTAAGTCACAGAAAACGTCCCAAAATAGCTTCAAGTTGGATCCTAATAATATGCGTGTGTGTTTTTGTATATTAAAATTTTATGCTCCCCTCAAGGCATACACTAATTTCTTATTCAAAGTTTTGCTCTCTGCTGGAGACAAATGATCACTGGGCTCGACTTTATTTAATCTCTTGGGTACATAGGTGTGGAAATTGTGCTTTAGCGGTGCATTAATGAATCGGACTGAGAAGAATAGATAGCCACTGTTCTAGTCATTAGCTACATTAAGTCTGAGATCGAGCTCCCGTGTAGGGTAATTGGCGTAAAAAAGGGGGCGCGCACAAGATTTGGATCCTAAGTCGACGATTAAACGACCAGAGGTGCGAACCATTTTTTCGATCTTTTGCTCTCGCTGCTAAGTTTGTTCTATATTCCAAATTAAACCCTTGTCCTGTTGGATCACTTTCAGGGGGAAAGCGGAGGGTGTTAAAGCACTCCTTGATCTGTCAATCATCGTGTGTCGCACATCCTCCGGTACGGCAAATCCCAGGCCCCTTTCACTTGTCTGCCACAGTAAGAGGCAAGTGAAGACCAATGTATCGTGCAGCGGTATTCTGGAAGAAGGAACCTATATGATAAGTATGTGTATATGAGCATAACATATGTGAAAAAACGAAAAGTGCCAATTACTGCTTCATCAAATAGCGGTCTTCAATTTTATTTTTGTCTGCCATGGTATCGTCTTTTTTATTCTTCAGGTGTTTTGTGGTTACTTTTGAAAGAAAGTAACATTGAGTACCGGTATATTTTTTTTTTTGCTTGCTTGCTTGCTTCGAGTATTTGCTCCACGCGATTGGCTTGTTTATAACGTAAAATAGAAACGATTTATATAACAAATAAAAAGGTGACGAACTGATGCTCAAAATTTAAATGCAATATTTGTCGTAGCAGAAAAGAGTCTCAGACACAACGACGGGGATTGATTTGTAACTAATTTACTTTGTAAATTTTCTCTTTTAGTTTGTTCAGCTTTTAACCATTGGCAGTCATTAGAAGCAAAAATTGATGAAGCAATGGGAGCATCATTCGTCAAAGGACTAGTGGGTGAAGAGCTTTATCCAAGTTATGTTCTCACTGTTCACAGTTCCCGCGCTGTCATGGTGGACCAGATTCCAATGACAGACTACTGTTTGGCTGATTCGCTGTTGCTATTGGCTACGACAAAAGGCAAAAGGCACGAGGTAGGGGGTGGTTTCATAGCACGCATTAAAAAAACCCATTCAAAGTAGATTCTTTTCTAACTTTAAGGGATAAATGCCTGTCAACGGGATTTCTTAAACCTCTAGAAGCTGCTGGGGGAAAGTTCTGTAGAGGAATTGATCTTATAGGTAAAATATAATCAAAAAAGGAATACCGCAACATAGGATTGAGTGTGATTTGTCTTCATGTTCAGGGGATCACGGACTCATGCCACGTAATTAATCCTCGCTCCTAACATGAGGCTCATAGATCAGCGGATATTAGCCGCCGTACTCAATCGGTATCTGGTAGACTAAACCTCTGTCGACCGTTCTTAATTCTTTAACAGAATGTATCTTATTAATTGAGTGCCCTTATTACCTGAGAGGATAACTTTGTCACTTTTTATTCCCAATTCAAATCTGATGAAATATGTTTGAATTTATTACGAGGGAAAATGCATAGAACGGCGTCACGTTATCGTTTTCAATCAATTCACC